TCGATGGGCATTTAGGCTGTTTCCATGTCTTGGCTATTGTATATAGTACTGCTATGTACATTGGTGTGCAGGTGTCTTTTTGAATTAAGGCTCCCTCCAAATATATGCCAAGGAGTGGGACTTCTGATAGGGTAAGTCTATTTTGAGTCTTTTGAGGAGTCTCCATACTATTTTTCACAATGGCTGCACCAAACTGCATTCCCACCACAGTGTAGGAGGGTTCTCTTTTGTCCACAGCCTCTCCAGCATTTGTCATTTGTGGACTTTTGAATGATGGCCATTCTAGCTGGTGTGAGGTGATGCCTCATTGTAATTTTGATTTGCATTTCTCTGATAGTTAGTGATATTGAGCATTTTTTTCATGCCGTCTGTTGGCCATTTGTATTTCTTCCTTGGAGAATTGCTTATTTACGTTCTCTGCCCATTTTTGGAATGGGTTTTTTTTTCTTATTATGCCGTATGAGCTGTTTATATATTCTGGAAATTAAGCTCTTGTCAGTCTCATCTTTTGTAAATATTTTCTCCCATTTGGTAGGTTGTCTTTTTGTTTTGCTTATGGTTTCCTTTGCTGTGCAAAATACTTTTAACTCTTTTGTTCCTCTTTCATAAATCAAGTGAGTGAATAATACAAACTGATATAGTCAATTCTCAGAGAAACAGACTGACAGAAATTGTAAAGTGGCAGCATGGTAGTATAACAGATGCTAATCTTTTGACTAGGTTTAAAATTTTTTGTGCTTTCCAGAAGTTGACAGTTTACTTGTTAATAAAAATGCATGACCTTTAACTCTTCAAAATATTTTTTTAAAATTTGAGTAAAATTCTAATTTGTAAAATATGTGTGTGTGTATATAAATTATGTCTCATAAAAATGTTTTACAGACATCTTTCTATGTCAAAGTAAATCTCTTTCTAACTGTGAAATGGATGTACTATATTTAACCAGATTTCCATTGAATTTAGATTGACTCACTTTTTGCTACTCTGTTGTCACAGTGTGCATCCATGTGTGTGTGTGTGTGTGTGTGTGTGTATACATAAATTTCCCCCTCGCTCTTCCAAGTGTTTCCATAGGTTTAAGTCTTTGAAAGGAACAGTTTTGAAATTGCCCTAAGTAATATTAGAAGCATTAAATAGCATTTTTGTCTTTTTCTTTAAAAACTATGTGTCATCTGTGTGGCCAGTTTTCAATATATTATGCAAAAAATGCCTGAAATCTTCAATTTAAGAGCAGGAGGGATGACTAGACTTCCTTAGCTGAAAGAGTGAGGGCCTGACAAGCATTTTAGAGAAGTGTATTCAAATATAGTTGCTGACCTGGTGTCAGCCTGAAGCCTGGCAAGGCAATGTGTTGACTCCAGCGTCTGCCTGCAAGCCAGCATCCCATTACTGAGATCTGTGGTTTCCATCGCTCCATGATAGCCATCCCAAGTTACAAGATGGGGGCCTCTGAAAATAGGTGGACGTTGAAGACCCAAGGAGCTTGGGAAAAGAAGCACAATCTAGATAGTAAATGAAAACATGACTTGAGAATTCATGTCTCTTTTTCTGGCCCTCTTTTGGATTCACCGCACATTTTTAATCCTTTGATTTCGTTTACTGCTATGTTATGCCTTTGAATGAAAGTAGTACATTTATCTGTCCTCCTGTAAATGGACATTTGGGTTTTTCCCGGGTTTATGCCAATTTGAACGATGCTGCTGTGAAAATGTATCCTGGTGTACATACTGTCAGAGTGTTTTTTGGGAACGATGTGCAGAAGTGGAGTAACTAGGTCAGCAGGTGTACACATCTACAGGTTCTGGACTGTGCCATGCTGTTTCCAAGCGCTGTTAATACTGTTCTTTTTGCCCCACATTCTCACCAGCGTGTGTAGTGCTAGCCTTTTACTTTCGTGCCAGTTTGGTGGATGTGAAATACTTACGTTTCGTTTTTTTCATGGTACCATCCAAGCAGATTTTTAAAACTATTTTAAAAAGTTAAGGCAGTTTTTTGAGTTTTACTATAATACAGAAATTGAGGTTAGGACTTGGAATAAACATTGGTTACAAAAGTGCCTAAAAGAAAATTTTTTTTGTATTCTGGAGCTACTCTGCCTCATTGAATAAAGCTAGTATGTTAAATTATGCATGTGTGGTTCAGAAGTCGAGCAATAGCTGTACTTACAGAGCAGAATGATAGCAAGCTATTTCTGAATGACTGTACAGGGGATGCTCGTGGGTCAGTGTCAGCCTCCCCCAGCTTTCACATGCTCAAAGTTCCAGCGAGGTTTAAGCCTCTTGTTAGATGAGCATGATGGTGACTAGCTGGGTTAGAACACACAGGGCGCTGCCGCAGGAGATCTGAAATTTACCAATAAGTGTTAACTAAGGGCTGAGGAAGAGAGGCCGGGGAGAGGCAGGAGAGGCGCAGTTCCGCAGTTTGGGGGTAGGTAAGATGATTCTTTGGGAAAGGAAACAATGCGATGAGTATTTTACCCGAGCAACAGTGGCACGGACAATGGTAAGTTATCGCAAAGAACTCTTAAAATACACACATTTCCATTTTTGATCTCCTTTAATGATAATGCTAAAAGAAAAATGTCATTCACCAGTGCTTTATTGATAAAGAGGAAAAAAGATCAGAGAGGTGAAACAAGTTGACCAAAGACACCCATCTGGTAAGTGACAGAGATGTGCTGTGTCCTCAGGGCTCTTCCTCCGAGGCCCACAGGTCCTTTGCTCCGTGCTTTTCCGACTCCTGAGCAACACAGCTGCTGTTTCTGCTGTGGATAACGTGCCATCAAGCACTGATCTCTGCCTTCTGAGCACTCTGATGTTCTGGTCAGGACTCCGAAAAGCCAGATTCCTGCTCAGGAACTTACAGCCTTAACAGAACTCCAAAAAAAGACGGATATGAAACAAGAAGAGAATCAAAATGATTTTTAATGAAATGTTAGATTATGCAGTAAAAATGAGCTTTAGTTGGACCTTCCAGAGTGGAATACAAGTGTGAGAATTGAATTGAAATTTATTTTCAAGATGCAAATTGAGTTTTCTTTGAAGAAAAACACTTCTCACTCTGGTATTTAAGGTGCTACTCATTTGGTAACTTCTGGTAGCCATGTCATTTAACGGTGGATGTACATATAATGTAAAAGAAAAATATTTATTTTTAAAGACCAATACTCAAATCTGAAAGATTTTCCTTTTCTGGTCTTTGGCCAATTAAGGACTCCTTTAGTAAGACTCACAGTAAACTTTTAGTTTCCTGTATTTCTATACTTTAATTAATAACCCCATATGCTTTGCATGTGACTTTTTCACTCGGCTGTGGTCTAAAGAATTCATGGACATTTAAAGGACAGATTTTAACAGCTTTATTCTGAACCGGTACATCTCTAGTGTCAGACTGCCTGTGTTGCTTTCAGATACTAAGCTTCCAGCCACTTACAGTTCCTGATAAGTTGCTTTTCTATAGATCTAATTTCACTTTCTTTATCCTTGAGTTTTTTTTTTCTTCCCTTGCTATTTTCCTGAATTCTTGAGAGTCAGCAAAAACTTCCAAGTGGGAACTTTGAGGCTTTCATCATAAAGCTGTTCAGGTCAGTAGGTGTTTGAGTCGGGGTAGAACTAGTTGCCTGGAGTCAGACCAGTATACGTCAGCTAAATCGGCCCATCATTGCTAAAACCTGGGAGGACCAGTGTGTTGCGATATACAGATCTGTAGCCAGTGTCCTTAATGTATTGGCTGCTTGTCTTAGGGCTCCTTTCTCTAAATACGCAGCTTAAGAAATTCATTGTCCTTTTTTTCCCGAAAGAGAGATTCTCAGAATTAACTTAGCGCCCCTTATTTGAAGTAAAGTTGACCAAATCATTATGACATATTTATAAGTAGAGAATTTTTGGAAAGGATGAGGATAATGCTCATTACACCTCAGAGTTAAGATCTTGTAGGTCTTTTAAAAAGAAAATTAATGGGCTTCCTCAGCCTGGAGACTGTGCCAGTGATAGCACCTTGTCATGGGCTTCTGGCTGCCAGCCCAAGATGACATAAAGACAGCTAAAGAAAGTAAGCTTAGTAAGTTGGTGGTGTCTGCAGCGTGTTTCAGAGCTACTTGGTAGTGCTGTGTTTCAGCGCCTACCAGAAACGCCATCTCTTTGGAGAGCTGGGGGAAGAGGGTTTGGAGGGACCGCTATGAAGAAGATCCCTTGAGCTGTGTTAGTGAATATTGTAATAGTATCTTAACCAAAGAGCCAGATTCCACTTTAATCTCCTTTTCCATTAATTTTTTAACTTTGTTCATTTTTAAAAACCCTCCATTGAAATACATTCCTTACTACGCAAGGGATTACTTACTATAAGACCTTTTGCAAACTGTATTACTGTTTGATCTTCATAATCTGGAGAAGTACTTAGAGGATATTAAAATTTATCCTTGTTTTTTCGAATAAGGAAACAGGTTCAGAGAGATTCAGTGACTTGGATGTTAACTCAGCAGAGCCAGGATTTGAAACTAGGTCATTACTTCTGGTCTGTGCTTTCTGCCTCACAGGATTATAAACAGAATTATTTATTTCTCATAATTTTCATTCAGAAGTGCATCTGTTTTGCAAATTGAGTCATTTATGCCCATGTTCATGGTTTTCAAACACTTTAATCCAAAAGGAGCTCCCTTTGAAAGGTGAACACCTTTTATCTCATCTTTCAAGGAA